TAAAGCTCCATAATAAGCGTAAGATTATTTCTACTATATATTATTGTATACTCAAGAACATTGTTTAACATCACTTTTATTTATATATAAAGAGGAAAAGAATTAGGTTTTCATTTGGATGATACCTTTTCAGTGAGTTTAAGCTCTTTTTAAGTTATTTACAGTACTATGTGTCACTACCTTTTACTATTGTTAGAAAGGAACATGAATTACCTCATAGGCTTTAACATCCTGGTAACACCCGATAGGACTAAAATCCTATTACAATTATATATATATATATAAGCGATTTAAAATGGATTTTATGCAGAAAAGTAAATAAACATCTTGGGATGTTAATAAATAAAGAAAAAGGAGGATTGATATTTAAAAGTGATTACTTATGTTATGTTATTTTTCAGTTCTATTCTAGAATGAAGTACTAATGTTTTAGAGTTTTGTAGTAATTCTAATAAATAAAAAAGTACTTGTTGTGTGATAGTTTTCTCCTATCTTACCATTTCTTTTTACTTCAAATTACTGTTTAATAAAATAGAATAATGAACAGTACTGTTTTCTCATTAGTGACAAACCTTTAGAACGATTGGAAAGCTTTATAATATTTAAAGCACTAAAATGCACTTTAGTTATTATGAAACAATAAAAGTTATGTCATGTGGCTACTTTTTTAAAAAAAAGTCAAGTATAGTACAAAAGTTGAGAACATTATATTAAACGATTTTGGAGCATCACCACGTCTTTATAGTCTATGTCGCCACGTGCATTATTCCAACACTCTGCAGTGTAGTTTTCATTGTAAAAAAGCTTTGTCGTAAGGTTGACAAGTCCAAAACGTAGCACTTCTACCTCCAGTTAGATCGAACAAAAATCCATAAGCACTGCGTTCGACGACTTGACCAGTACGTCTTCTTATGATATAGCATGACTACTAATTTAATCTAATAAAAAAATACCTTAGATGTGAAAAAAAGGTGCGGCCAAAAAAGTATTCAGCATGCGACTTAAAGGAATAAAATCAAAATTGGCGGCCAAAATGGCAACTACACTTATTGCATTTATAAGAATTTTACAGCAACTATTCATTCATTAGTTAGCTAGATCGCATTTTTGTTCAACTTTGGGCATGATGGTTGAACGGATATAGGGTTGAAATAGCTTATGTACCTGTAATTGGTGTCACTTTTCCAGACGTAAATCCTTCTTGGTTATGTTGCGTACTGTTGCCTGGAGCACGTGGATTCTCACCTGTTACAAGACACCGCACTTCGCTATTCATAGCAGGGATACGACTTCTTGTAGTTATTGTACTGGATGGTTCTGATGCTGCAGTTTGACTCGTGCTCCTTTGTTTTCCAATGCCATTAAATTAAAAGGATATCCTCATGTTGGAAATTCTAAATTCCCGATTTGAAGACATCTTTATGGTATGAGTGTATGAATATATTGCATTTGAAAGGGTTCTTACATACTCTTTCACAAACGATCAGTTTAAGGTAGTATCACACTATCTATTTACCGCCAAACAATGCCATAATGTAGTTCTGACACATACTGTACTACTACGAATTATATCGGCTGTAGGTATTACTTGACGCATTCGAAATCATTTAAATATAATGTGCTCTACCCTCCGTGGAAGGTTAGGTTTAAGAATGACATCTATTTTAGGTTTAGAATTCAAAATATTGATATAAACTTAAGGGTTTTTGTTTGATTAATTTTGATTTTCCTAAAGGGGAGACAGGCAATCAAACCATCAGACCAGCATCAAACCAAACATGTAGTTCCGACTGCTCGATGATTCGTGACACTAACGACTGTACTAAATACAAGTTTTGCAAGAATAATAAAATATATGAAATGGTTTGTCCGTCTGACCTAACCTTCAACCCCAAAACGGACACTTGTGACTATGCTGATAAGGTGGAGTGCAGAGATCCAAGATGTCCCGAACCCAATGGTTTCTTTCCTCACCCAGACTCTTGTCTGAAATACATCAAATGTGAAAACTGGCAGTTCAAGATTATGAAGTGCCCAGAGGGTCTTGGGTTTAACCCTAACACCAGGTGCTGCAACTGGCCTGACACTTGCAATGGTAAGTGGTAAATTTAAGTCTAACATCAAGAGAAGTTTTTGTATTTTTATTAACCTAAAACTATCGACGATTCAGTGACTAGATAATTATATGAAATGATTATGTTATTAAAATATCATATCAAACCAGAGAATGTTTTTGATTATTACTGAATGCATCAAAAATAGTATTTTGAGAAAGGGCGTGTGTTATATTAACATTTGAACGAAATGTTATGTGAATAATATACTATTTCTTAGATATATTTCTAAAATATGTTAATCACCTTACTTCATTGTTTAGATTAGTTTAAAAACAACATATTTTTAGGGTTTTGAAAAAAGGATGTAATAAGTATTGTTTATTTTGACAGAAGAGGTTTCAAGACCACTCATTGTCTATCCAGCCAAGAAAGAGTGTCCGTGTAATTGCTGTGCTATTGCTGACCCTAACGACTGTAGCAAGTTTATACTTTGTGTCAATGGCCATGCTGTCGAACAAAAGTGTTCAGATGGGCTACTTTTCAACCCTAAGAGTGAGAACTGTGACTATGCAAAGAATGTAAACTGTAACCGAACGTGTGACAAGGACTGTGATGACAAGCCAACAGTGCCACCTGGTAACTACTGCAAGAAACCGTCCGGTCTCTTTCCTCATCCCACTAAATGCAACCTCTTCATCCATTGCTCCAACTATATTCCTCACACCAAGGAATGTCCAAGTATTCTTCACTTTAACCCTAGACTCAGAGTCTGTGATTGGCCGTGGATTGCAGGCTGTGGTGAGCAAAGTGTATTGACCTAAAGCTAAGGAAAAGTGCAATCCAATTTATAGAGCACAAAATAAAATTAAAACCCTGGGTACCTTTGTAGGTTTAATTAGAAGTCTTATCATGCTATTTAAATCAAGAATTGTTTTGTTTTACTTGTACATTTCAATGTTTTTACTGACCAAATTTCTTTATGACTTAAACTTATTAAGATGCAATTAATTATTTGCATGTTCAATTCTAGGCGATTTTATGTGTTAAAGATTAAATGGTGATAGTTAAAGGATTGATATAGTAATTCTTTAACTATCCATCTCGTATAATGTTTAGGTATATTGTGGTTTGATTTCATCTAATTCCAGGACATAACACCAACATTTCAAAACCGGATCCAGAACCAGAAATACCTGATGATAAAGTAATCTGTGACTGTGACTGTTGCTTTTTACCTGTGCAGGGAGACTGTTCAGCCTACATTCGATGTGAAGAAGGTATCGCCTATCCTGGTAGATGTCGTGGTAATTTACTTTTTAACAAAGATGTGGAAAACTGTGATCTACCAGAAAATGTTATATGTGAAGATAAACCGAAAGACCCGAATTACAACTGTACTTCAGAGTTTGGTCTCTTTCCTCACCCCAAAGACTGTGGGAAATTCATTCAGTGCTCTCATTGGATACCACATATGATGAACTGTCCCGGTAATCTTCACTTTAACCCTGCAATAAAGGTCTGCGATTGGCCAAACAAAGACGGATGTGACGGTAAGTCTCTTAGATAGATGTTTAACGTCGCAAAATTTGTGTTTTTATGTTGGTAAAAAACTGGTTCAATTACAGAGCTAACAAATTATCTATACTATTATTCTGCTTGTTTGTATGCACGACCGTTACGCTTTCTTACCGAGAAACTGCTGCATAAGCATGCGTAGTTAGAATGTTTTACATGCGCATTATTCACTCGACGACAAACAGTCTGCCTGCGGCAGAGAGCTGCAAAGCTTAGTGATCAAGTCACTACAATTGCTGTATGAAACAGGAAGTAACAACAAAAGGGAAATGTAAATATACTTTACTAACCATTTTGTACGAAAGAATATTAAAAACTTATCAAATTTTTAAAAAAGGTTTAACGTTAGGTCGTAGAATAACATTATAAGTTTATTTATCGATAATATTAAGTACAGTCAAGTTTAGTCCTAACTAAACTAAAGTAAACAAACAAACAAA